CCTGGGATCATGACCTGAGCCGAAGGCAGAGGCTTAACCCACTGAGCCACCCAGGCGCCCCGGGAGACGGGCTCTTTAAAGAGGTAATTCAGTTAAAAAAAACTGATTAGGGTGGACGCTAATCCAATATGGCCAGTGTCCTTGCAAGAGGAGGCGATCAGGACGAACCACAGAAGACCACGTGCAGACACGAAAAGAAGACGACTATCTGCGAGCCAGGCCAGAGGCCTCAGAAGGAGCCAACCCTGCTGACACCCTGATCAGACTTCTCGCCTCCAGGGCTGCGAGAAAAACACGTGTGTCTTGTTTAAGCCACCGAGGCTGTGGTCCGCTCTTACGGCAGCCCCGGGAAACTACACAGATTCTAAGTCATAGCACAAAATGAACATCCCCGAGTTCGTACCAATGTAAATAAGCAACTGAATGAACACACAGGGGAAGAAGAGACGCTCTTCCTCATAGTAGCATTCCACCCAACACACGTAGAAGGAATGATGGAAGGAAGAAAGTCACCACTGGCAAATACCACAGTTATAGACTGCTTTGGGCAAGAACCATCAAGGAAGGCTAAGATTAATGTGTGAAAGCATGAGAAGACACAAGACGTTCACAAAGTTTCTAAACATTATACTCATTAGGTACAAAGGGAAAAAAAGAAATCACCTTGAGGTGGAGAACCCTGGCAGATACCATGTCCACCCAGTGACAGAATTAACTGATGTCACCAGGAACTAGAGGTGTGGACACCACGTGCCCCCACGGTGATGTCCTGTGCGAGCACGGCATCATTTCTGTGCTGTTCATGCCAAAATAGCGTAACCAGCATTAACTGGGAGGCAGCAGTTAACAAACCCAAAGTGGGGGGGACATCTACAATATAACTAGTGAGTATCCTTCAAAAGGGTCCAGCTTGGGTACCCGGGGGGGCTCAGCTGGATGAGCGTCTGACTCTTGATTTCAGCTCAGGTTGTGATCTCAGGGTCGTGGGGTCAAGCCCCACAACGGGCTCCACATTCAGCAGGGAGTCTTCTTGGGATTCTCTCTCTCTCTCTCTCTGCCCCTCACCCTGCTCTCATGACCTTTCTCTCTCAAATAAATCAATCTTAAAAGAAAAAAAAAATATGTCCAGCTCATGAACGACCATGACAGACTGAGGGACTGTCCCAGACTGAAAGAAAATAAAGTGACAGAGCATCTAAGCATGGCGTATGGTCCTGAACTGGGTCCTAGAGAAGAAAGGACAGCAGTGGACAAAAGTTGGGTCCGTAAACTCGATAACAGTGTCAGTGTTAATATCCTGCTTTTGCACATTGGACTGTGCTTAGGTAAGATGATACCCTTTGGGGAAGCTGGGTGAAAGGTATAAGGAAGTTCTTTGTACCATTTTATTACTTTTCGGGGGTAAGTTCTTTTTTTTTAAGATCATTTATTTATTTGAGAGAGAGAGAGAGAGAGCAGAGGAAGAGAGGGAGCACATTCATGGAGCAGGGACAGAGGGAAAGCGAGAAGCAGGCTCCCCGCTGAGCCCAGGACCCCAGCGTCATGAACCAAGCCAACAGGCACCCCTAGGAGGTAAATCTTAAACTAGTTCAAAATGATGAGTTACCAAAAAAAATCCTAAAATTTGTTTTCAATAAACATGCATTTTCAGGCTTCATCCCAGAATTTCTGAGTCAGGAGGTCTGGGGAAGGTCTTGGGAATTTACATTTCTACCCAAGTTTTCAGGTGCTGCTGATGCTGCTGATCCCTTTGAGAATTCCCTGCATTATGTTACATCTACTGTGGCCACGAGCCTACCACACTCTGAAAAATAAGAACAACCCGTTCATTCGTTCATTCATCCATCCATCCACCCATCCATCCATCCACTCATCCCTTGGTCTTCAGGCCCTGGGCTAAGTCCTCACAATCACCATAATTTTGGCTCTACTAAACAGGCACCAGCTAATATTCTTCTCTAACCACCTGTGGGGCAAGTGATGCTTTCTGTGAAGGAGTCTAGACAAAGCCCTGTTTACAGTAGGTGCACGGTTAACGGCTGGCTTCTCTGCTGCCCATTTTGTGTCGCCTGGGGAAGGCCAACAGAGCCTTCTCCAAATTCCTGAGCCCAACCTTCATGCCACCACCCTCTTGTAAGCTGCAGGTACCAAAGGCCTGATGTGTGGGGAGGATGGCGGGGAGGGGGCCCGAGCATTGGCTTCAGAGCCTGGAGAAAGACAGGTGCCAGATCAGTTCACAGTTAATGCTGATTTGTATATTTCTCATAAGGCTCCCGTTTATTAGAGAATATTCTCACATCGGGCAAATGTTTTGGCCGAGTCTATGAACCCTGTAATCTCCCAGTCAGCCCACGTGCTTAGCTCCCTTGCTGGAGCCTGGGAACACGCATCCATCCGGGAAACACATGAACCCAGGAACAGGGAGACTTCCTGGTCCCCTCTAACCAGTGGGGGAACTCAGAATTTTGCACTGGAAGAGGTTGGTACCCAGGAATGATCCTCACCTCCTACCCACCAGCAGCTGGGAAGGACAACTAGAACCACGGGCCAAGGTGCTGTCTGAATAGGAACAGGGGTGGGCATGAATCCCCACTACCCCAGTCCCAGACTGCACTTCTTCCAATCCCAACACTCATCAAAAAGTGCCTTGTGGGAAAAGCCAGTGGGGTCCAGAGAAGGGAGAAGCGAGGCAGCAGCCTGTGTCCAGACAAAGAGGTGGACTGAGATGTGCTGCTGGGAGCAGATGCCCCAGGTTTAGGTGTGAGAAAGCAGTGGGGAGGCTGAGCCAAGGCCTGCACTCACACCGCCCATCCTGCACAGACGCCCCATCTCCCCTCCGCTGCACGCAGCTGCCGGTGGCTCAAACTGGGAAGAGAAATCCCTCCTTTCCCCCCAACCTGGCAGCCTGGGACCACATTCTATCTCCACAAGTTCCTTAGGGCAAGGAAACCAGCCTTGACCGAGGCTGAGGGCGCTGGGGCACTGATTTCTCCATTGTTTGTACCCAGCGTCGTGAAGGAATTCTGCTTTCTGCCGTTGTAAAAATCCCCATGAAAAACTGGACTTCTGGCCAAGTAAAAAATGAGAATGTAGGACTTACGGCAGCTCACTTACTCCTAAATGTTTTGTCAAGTAGTCTCAGGTATTTTTTGCACACACACACACATACACACACACAGACACACACCCACATACCCCTTGGCAACATGCCTCCTTCTATCACATCATCATCTAAGGAACACTCTTGCCCAGCCTACAACCTCCTAGCTATCACCTCCCACCCTGCCGTCACTTAGACTCTCCAGGTCCTCCCTTCCTGACACGTGAATCCCTGATCCCTGGTGGCTCCCCACTCTTATGCCCAGATCCCCTCCGGCAGCCCCGCTAAGTTCCTGGAACACCGAAGAGGATTTAGCTCCACCGACCTCCCTAACCGATCCTTGCAGAAAACCTCCTTCACCTTCACCAAAGCTGGACGCCATGTTGAGGGTTTTAGCCCTTCTCCGGAAATGTAGGAGGAAATCCAACATTCCTACAGCATGTGTAATTTTAGAAAAACAAGCAACAACAACAACAACAACAACTTTTCCGGAACATTTTCATTTTAACGTCCTACTCTGAGAAAATCTTTACTGATGGAAGCCTCTGCATTTCCAGATTGTTCCGTTAAATATATTCATTCCAATCAAATCTCTCCCATGGGTCTCAGGACCATGGAGAATCAGAAAAGGAGACCGTTACCTTCAGATCTGGTTCTGCCCCCAAACAGATACCCTGTCAGTCGCCCTTGGGTGTGCTTTTCAGAAAAATAGAAACAAACAGTCCCTCTGGGCTTACTCTGTGCCAAACAGTGTGGTAAGCATTTCCGGTGAATGAATCCACTGTGCGTCAACCAATCTTCACCACGGCCTTTGAGGTAGAAGCAGGCGCTGAGGAATTTGCCTGAGGTGACAAAGCTGAGGAGCGATTTAGAGAGACTCTGAACCCTGGCGGGTTGGATGGCTCCCTGTCCCTACAGATGACTCTGCCCGGATCCTACCTGTTAGAACCCACAAGCTTGACCAGAAAACGCTGCTCCTAGAACGCCTATGTCCACTGCATCCCTCTGTCCCAAGAATCCTGGCAGTAGCTGACAGCTGGTCCATCTTTCCTCTGTCTCAACACCGAAACCCTCAGCATACTTCGCTTAATCCTCATGGCAGCTGAGGGAGGAGCCTTTGTTCTTGCTCCCATTCCGCAGATGGAAAAGTAGAGGCAGAGTAGAGATCGTCTTTCACTGCATGCCAGTTGCATACCACGCGCCAACCCCGTCCTGGGAGCTGAGGCCACCTGTCTGGTCAGGTCACAGACGGGATTTGCACCTCCATCTGCCTGATTTCAGAACCCTCGCTCTTAACCTCTCCGCTCTGCTTGCCTCGGAGCGAGAGAGGAGTCACTGTGATCAATTCGACGTCGCCACACGCTCAGGGCCGAAGACAAGAGCAGGACCCGCAGACAGCCTCACACCCAGAGCTCAGCAGGGATGAGGTTTACTGCCTGCTCCTCCAGATAATTTACTCTCCTGAACATTTAGACGTTTTGTCGTTTGACACAACTGGCCCATCTTATCCCTGTCATGGCCTTTTCATCATCCACTGATTCTTCTAGGTTCATAAAACAAGCAAACCCTCACACAGGGTGGCCCAGGCGGGGTCTGAGGAAGATGCCTTCTGGTGGGCTGTTTCCCTCGGAGCTCCCCTGACTCCCCCCTGCCTTCCACCTCCCGAGGTCAGAGCTCACCAAACAGCATGGCAGGTGATTGTTCAAACACCCCGGGGTCTCTGATGCAGCGGGGCCGGGTGGGGCTGGAGAGTCTGAGTTCTAACACATGCCCAGGAAATGGTGATACTGCTGGTCCAGAGACCCCTCTTTAAGAACCTGAGAAGGTGGCAAGGGGCTGCTGTGTCTCTTGGGGACAAAAAGGGTGTCTGTATGGCTGGGAGGATGCAGAGAACTGCTCTGAGGACAGCCTCTGTGGGGAGCAGCCCAGAGTGGCTCACCCTCCCTCCAGAGCCTTCCAGGGCTCTCCACACTCTCCAGACCCCCAGAGCTCCCCTTTGGAAACAAGCATTGCTTTAGGGAACCTCTCTAGCCCTTCGCACCAGCAAGGCCTCGCCTGTGTGGCCCGGCAGTGCCCAGTATCTCCCTAAAAGCTGCTCCCTCCACACCACACGGAGGGCGGGGACTCTTCCAGCTCCCGGGGCAGAGATGGGCGTGGCCGGCAGTGCCACTGGGCATGCTGGGGATGATGCTGAAAGTGCTGGACCAAATGGGACCGCCAGGGTCTTAAACACCAGCACGTTCGGGACCCTCTCCTGAGCGACGGTGCTGCACCACCCTGGACCTCAGAGGCAAGAATCTGGCTTCCCATGCATCTTTTCATTTCTGAGCTTCGAGCTGGAATTTCCCTGCACTGAGATAAATGAGGCCACTGAAGTGGAGGTGCTACCCCATATGTGAGGGCTGAGAAGTCCCCTTCACATAAGCAGATGAGGAACGGGGCTGGCTCTTGCTGGCACCCTTCTGTGTGCATGTGCGTGAGTGTGTGTGCACGTGTGTGTGCGCGTATGCGGGTGGTCGGTCTTCTCACTCCCCTTTATCTCGCTAGAACCCCTGAGTCTGGAGACTGAAGGTCATCCAGCCTGTTCCCAGCAGAAATCAGCAAGGTCATCAGTTTGCTCGGTTTCATTGACAGAAACCCATCAGCTGCTGGACCCTCCGAGAAGCTACAACCGCGTCCATGGAATTCTTCGGGGCTTTTCTTCTCTTGCAACCCAGGAAGGTATTGGAGAGACTGTAGCTCAGACAGATAGTCACCCCCCTCAAAGAGTCACACAAACAAAGTTCTTTCATTCCTTCAGTTACCAGCCCTGGTTCCCTGGACGTAGCAAGCTCAAGGCTAGAAGCCTACCCCCTCGCCAAGCCTTGCTACCAACCAGCAAGCAGAAGGAGGTTCAGTTCACACGTCTGTTAAATGTGGGGTTGAACTAGAGAGACCCCAAAGGCCCTGCAATGGAAGGTCATCGAACCATGGTTATGTGTCAAAGCCTGCACGCCTTGTAGACCAGAGGTCATGAGTCAAAGGAGCAGTGTCGTCGTGCCCATTTCACAGATGCAGGAAATGGAGGCTCAGACAAGCAAACTATCGTGCCGGGAGTTCCGCAGCAAATAAAGAACTGGGTCAAGATTCTCTCTGTCTTTCTTGTCTAGCTCTCAGGCCCTTCCTCTACCAGAACAGGGCATGTCCATGCGTGCACAACTGTGCATTTCGGAGGGGGCCTGACAGCCCTGGAAAAAACAGGCTTTATCTGGTTTACACGAAATGCTGGTGGGAGCAGACTTGGCCCCAAGCAGACTTTGGTTCACCAGAGATAACAGTGTCCTGGGGGATGCCGTGCCCACCCTGCACCCTCCTGGGAGGCGCTGTCACACTGCGGGGGCCTCACCTGGGAAGGGCTCCTTGAGGAAGTGGCCGTTGATGGTCTGGTTGGCCGTGCCCAGCGGGTTTTTGGCGATGAGGGTGTAGTTGCCGTTGTTGTAGTGCGTAGGCTTGTTGAAGAGCAGGCAGCCCTCGGACACCTCGCCCTCCTGGTAGTACTCCACATGCGTGATCTTGGACTCCCGCAGCGGCTGCCCGTTGTGCAACCAGAGCAACGTGGGCGGCGGGTTGCCCCGCACCACGAACTCGATGCAGTGCTCCAGACGCAGCTCGGGCTCCTCCAGGCTCACCACGCGTGGGGGGTCTGCGGGGGACGGGCCTGCTGACTCCCAGCACGCAGAGACCCCCGCGCCCCAAAGCAGCCCCCCCAACACTAGGACGGGGATCCCGGTTCTCCCCCCATCCAGCTCGGAGAGGACCCAGGGGATCAGGGGTACCCCCACGACCTTCCCAAAAGTGGGGAAGAGAGGACTGTCTTCCCCCACGCTTCCCGGGTCCACCACCACTGGCCCCGTGAACCTCTAGGAGCGAAGAGAAGGCAGACGGGGGCTGACATGGGGGTATCCTGAAGATGAGTTGCAGGCATACCATCTTCTGAGGGACAGGGACGCCCTTTCTGGGGTTACCAGCCAAGAACTGCCTTGTTCAGTCCTGCCCCCCTAGCACACCGCCCCCCGCCTCCTGCATGACCGTCCCCCGGGGACACAGCCCCCCTCCAAGATGGCAGCCACTCACAGTGCACGGTGAGGGCCACACTGGCGTTGCTCATGCCCACCACGTTCTCCGCGATGCACGTCAGAGTGAAGCCATTGTCCTCGCTTGTCACATTGACCAGGGTCAGGTTGATGGCGTGTACGTTGGTCCAGTTCAGATTTGTCTAAAACCCCAATGGAAAAAAAAAATCAGTTTCTAGAAGGCAGTTCCCCATTCACCTTCCGAACACCTGCAGGAATCAAAAAGAAAGCTGTGTAGGAAGCGAAGGAGGCCTTTCCTCCTCCCGTGCACACTGACCAACCGCCAGGCTCGCTACACTCAAGAGCTCAGGAAACCCTCACATTTACCCTAGGGGGTGAATGGTGGCATTACACCCACTTTACAGATGAGAAAACTAAGGTACAGAGAAGTTTATTAGCATGCTGAAGCTCGGGTTGGCCAGAAAAGGTTGGAGCTGGGTGAGAACCAAGTACATGCAGACTTTCCCTCTTCTTCCTTCTCCTCATATCTCTGGCTTCTCTTCCTGATGGAGCTCACTGGGACAAAGAGGTCAAGGCTCCCCAGCCTCCCGATGGGGCCGGAGCCTAGGGCGCCTACCTGGTGGGTGTTGATGGACTGCAGTCCCGTGACTATCCAGTCTACGTCGGGCAGAGGGGATCCAGAGCCATTGCACGTGATGACAGCGTTGTCGCCCTCTCGAACGGTCAGGTTCACGTGGCTCACACTGATCTCAGGAAGGTCTGGGAGGCAGGACAGGACGAGTGGAAAGATAAGCCAACACTTAGTACCAAAACTTTGTCCCTGGGGTCGATGGTGGCCCTTCTCAACACAACCTGCTTGATCAAGCTCTTGGAAGGCCCCCAAGTGCCAGAATCTTCCCAGCACCTCCCTGCCAGCAGAGGTCAGAGCTCAGAATTTAAGCCCAGCTGGGCTCTCCCACGGGCCAGGCAGAGGGTGGGGGTGGGGAGGTGCTCAAAGAATGTAGTTCCAGCAACCGGCTCTCCAGCTTTGGTCTGCTTCCAACTCCCATGAGGAGTCTGCTAGAAATTCAGGTTACCGAGGCCCATGCTGAGACATCCCGTGATCTTGTTAAGTCTGCAGGGCCTGGGCATCTGCTTTTCTAAAACTCCCTTAGATGCTCCTGATATGGAAGATCCAGAGCCCACGCTTTAAGACAGACTCCTTCACATCTGATTGACGAGTATCTCATAGGGAGAAACGACGCTGGTCCATTGAGAAGGGGCACACTGCACCCCTGTCTTCACCAGGCTCAAGGAGGGACAGGGATGACCAAGGAGGTGAACGGTAAGCCAGAGCTGCACCCAGTGCAGAGTTCAAGGCTGAGGGTTGGGGGGTGGGGGCAGGGGCCAGAAGGCCCTGGCTCTGCAGGCTCCCGCGCGGGTGTGAGGGCCCTTCGCCTGGAGCCCGCCAGGGCCAGGCCACTCACTCACCACACTGGCTGATGTTCATGCGGAACAGGGGCAGCTGCGAGCCGTCGGCACCGATGCAGTAGAGGTGCTGGCTGTTGAGCTTGGCCTCCCCCTGCTCCTGCCACAGCTGCATCCAGCGGATGTCACAGCTGCAGTTGAAGAAGTTCTGCTCCAGTCTCCTGAGGGCAAGGAAACAGGGGAAGGGACCTCCTGAACCAAAGACGGCCCTGCTCCCCCCGCCCCCCCAGGGCTGGAGGGATGCCCCGACCTGCTCTTCAGGGACTAGAGAGAGGAGGGGTTTAGCAAGGTCTTGAAAGAGATGAAAAATACTTCTAAGTCCATGAATTCCTTTCGTTTTTGCACTCATTTGGGAAAAAAAAAAAAAAAAAAAAAGAATCCACTCCATTTAACTCACCTGCCAACGAGACCCTTTTAATTACATCAGCTTGGGATATCGCTCTTCTCAAAGCCCTCCAGTGGCTTCCCATGTCATCGAAAGTCAAGGTCAAAGGCCTACAGGCTCTGCAGTGCTCTCCATCACCTCTCTGACCTCATCTCCTACCTCTTACCCTCTTCTTCTTCTTCAGCCACACTGACCTTGCTATCTGTCAAGTTCACTAGCACAACCAGCCTGGTGCTGCCTCAGAGCCTTTGCACTTGTTGTCCCTTCTGCCTGCAGAGTTCCTACGCATAACATGCCTGCTACATTGGCTATCTCACTTCATTAAAGAATCATATGGCCTTCTCCAAATACTGCTCTAAGTAAACTGCCAACAACCCCTGCCTTAGTGCAGCCCACTCCCCGCCCTACTATTTCCTTCCCTCCAGTATTTGTCACTGTCCAGCATCACTTAAAAAATTTGTTTATTATCTGTCTCCCCAAATAAAAATTAAGCTCCATTGAGCTCAGAGAAATTGCCTGTTTGGTTCATCTGTATCTCCAGTGCCTACAACTGAGCCTGAGACGTGAATGCCTATTGAATGAATAGAAGGAGGGAAGGGAGGGAGGGAAGGAGAAGGAAAGGGTTACTCTCCCCGGGGAGCAGGTGGCTCGCAATTTCCACGATCAGCTCAAAGCCCATCGCAATTTCCACGATCAGCTCAAAGCCCATCACGATCAGCTCAAAGCCCATCCGTTTATTCTCCATAAATTCAAGAAAATCCTTACGAAGCACCTGTTCCGTGTCTGGCTGTGAGCTGAGCACTGCTGGTACAGAGGTGGATGAGACAGCCTGGGAGCATGGAAAGGAAGTGCATCTGATGGGAAAAGTGTCAAGTTCAAGGTCTTCCTTCTCTACTGACTTTCCTTGTGACTGAGAGCAAGTCCCTGCCCCTCTGAATGGGGTTATCCCATTAGGGGGACAATGAATGGCGTTCATTGATGTAAAGCGCCCAGGAGATCTAAAGGTCTGCCTCAGTAGGAAGAACGTGATTCTCTTGCTGGACCAGTAAGGAGGCGAGTGTGTTGGTGCCCAGGAGGGGCACTAAGACCCAGGATATTCTGGACAAGGGGTGGAATTCCAAAGTAGTGAGGCATGCATCAGAAGTGATCAGCTTTCAGGGAAAAGTGAGGTCCTGGAGGAGGAATCTGTGTGTCCCAGCCAGAGGGATACCGCAGGCAGAAGGTGCCAACACCTTTGCACGAAAGCCCCTCGGTCTAAAGGTACGCTGGCTTTTCCCTGCACTCTTTCAGGAAAGGAGAAAGGACCTAGGCCTTCATGAAGCATCTGCTTCCCACAGCCACCCTGGAAGACAGCCAGCACTGTCCCTGTCCAGAGGGGGGACCCCCACTCGCCTTGGGAGGGGTTGAGTCTCGTACTCCAAGTCCCTGGGCTGGGGTGGGACCAAGCAGGGCTGTAAGCCTCACCCTGCTGGACTCCAGACCCCACACGCCCCCACCCCGTCTACCCTGTGAAAGGCACCGCTGGCTGTGAACAGAGATGCAGAGGAGTCAGCATGACCCCCGGCTCTGCGGCTCCTGGGCAGAGAGCAGGGGAAGAGTTCACGGCCACGCTGGAGGCCGAGATAGGAAAACAGGAAAGAAAAGCTGCGCCAGGGCACAGAGTTCACGTCAAGGAGCACTGGGAAATGCAGCTGGAAGGGAGAGTGGAAGCCAGATGGTGCGGGACCTTCACGGCCACATCAAACATCAGCAAGCTGGGGATTCATCCAGGGGGCGGCGGGAGCCAGGGAGGCCCTCGGAGCTCGCGACGATGGGAGCAAAGCAGGTCTGTCAGAAGAGTAATCCAACAGTACTGTGCATGACGTGTGTGCCTTTCTCAGAGCACCCAGGCGAAGGGATGAATGGGGGACAAAATCCTTGACTCACACGCCTTGACTAGACCCGGTGCCTGGCACAGGGCTACATGCACCCAGATGGGGCATCTGCCTTCAGTGACGTATTGGTATGTGCCGGCCAGCAGGCTCAGAGTCACTCTTCTTGGGCTTTTGGTCTCAGAACTCCTCTTTACTCTTAAAAATCCCTGGGGGCCTCCAAGAGCATTTGCGTATGTAGATTACACTATCCCTCTTCACCATTTTGGAAGCGAAGTAGAAAATTTTAAAACACAACACCACGTTAGCACAAACTGCCATTCGTCACCAGGGCAGCGACATTATCACAGGTTAAGTGACCCTAGAGGTCACTGTGATAATGTCGCTTGGGGTCACACCTTCTGGGGCACCAGAGTGAACAGGACAAGTAATGTCTCAGATTCTACCCTGTGGTCTCCCTGATAGGGTCTTGGGGGTCCCACGGAAACCTGGACCCCCACTTGAGAACTGCTGCCATGTTAATAAGGGTCTCGAGTAGACTGGTAAAAGCACAGCAGAGGGAAGGGAAGGTGGAACAGACACGGTAAAGAAGACAAGGTGGTATTTGGTGCTTTGCTGGAGGTGGAAGGAAAGAACGGAGGATGACACCACAGTTTTAAGCTCCAGGAGACAGGAAACCAATGGAGGAGAGACACATTTTTAGCTGAAAACAGGAGAGAAGGAACCAATGACAAGGAAGAAGGTCGGTGTATGAGGCATCGGGATGAGGTCCTAGAGGAGGAAGGTGAAGCATGAGGCCGGGAGTCTTGGAGGTCCTGCCCCAGTGGAGAGGCAAGATGGCGCCAGGGCGGAGCCAAGAGGTAGAGGAAAGAGAATGGGGAGGCAGGAGGAAGTAAGAGCTAAGAAATAAAAATGGAATGACGTCTGCGCTGCACCTACCACCTGCCCAGCACCATGCGGATTGCCCTCCACACGCCAGCCCCATGAGCCCTCCCCTCAGGGACGAAGCAGGGGAGGCAGGGGATGGCTTCCACAGGGAAAAGCAGAAGACCAAGCTAGGCTGCCCAGTGTGTGGAGGACAGGAAGGCCTGAGGACGTGGGTCTGTGTTTGCATTCACACGGCGGGGTCGAGGGGCGAGGGGAGGCCAGGCAGCCCTGCTGGAAAGATACTGAGAGTCCAGATGCTTCCATATATGCAAGCTGAACCAGGTCAGCCTGGTTTTCCCAGATGCTCGCTAGACAAGATGTGGTCATTCATTATGAAGCAGTTGTAAAAAGACAAATTATCCACCCGGGTGGAAAAGATTAACAAGGGAGGGGCTGGGCTCAGCGGCTTCGAGACCATGTGCTTTAGGGAGTCCTGCCTCGCCCGAGTCCCACACTGCTGCGTCCCCCGACTTCTCAGTGGCTCCCCGCAGGGCTGATAGGGCCAGAGCATGCTGACGCTAGTGGGACAATCAGTGGGATGACAGGGCTAAACACAAACACACTAACGGCTTTTTGTTTCCTTCCATCCTTCTCCTCTAGGATCTGGTCCCCTAGCAGTGTCCTGGAAACTGCACAGAAACCTTCAGCTTGTCCCCCCTACCTTGGGACTTTCCTCCTAGACAGCAAGACGGACACACACAACAGAAAGCATGTTGAGTCTGAAGACAGGTGTCCCGGGCATCCCACCGAGCAAACCTACCATAGTTTTCCATCCTGATGAGAGAGGGTTCAGGAAGGGGGGCCAGAAGCAGAGAAAGGCAGCCCTCAGTCTACATAATGCCACCCACTCTTTTAGCAAGTCAGGTGTCTCGAAGAGGAGCCATGGCCAGAGCTCCAAGTCCCAAAGGAGGAGCCTGAAATGAGCCTTCCCTGCTCCATCAATAATGCAGGCAGCCCCGTGAAGGACACAGCCACAGCTGCTTCGGGGCAGAGCTTATCCTACACCCAGCCCATGCCCCAATATGGCCCAGGGCCTAATCGCAGGGCCCTAGGGGCGACCCGCAGATTAACTCAGCCCCATCCAGGCACACACAGATGCCTATCTGCAAGGCCAAGGCCATGGCAGTGTATTCAGAAAACACTGGTTCCCCTCCGGTCATCACTCTGCCTTTCTTCTTCCCTCCACAGAACCGGTGCTGCCAGTGGCGATCCTGGGGCCCGGGGTGTAGATCTACGGCCAACCGGGGAGGCCTGTCCGCAGGTCCATGTGATGCTCACCGCTGGCCTCCCAGAGATAACACAGTGGCAGAAGAAGTGCACAAACACAGGGTTTGAGTGGAGCCTGTGGTCAAGCTGGGCAAGGCTAGTGCACTGAGTTGTGTCTCCCCCAAAAGATCTGGGCAAGACCTCAGCCCCAAGACCTGTGAATGTGACCTTACTTAGAAAAAAGGTCTTCTGTGGATATGATCCCGAGAAGGATCACGGGATGATCACGGGACAAGATCATTCTGGATTTAGGGAGGGTCCTAAATCCAAGGATGGGTGTCCTTATAAGAGACAAGAGGGGAAAAGCCAAAGACGCAGAGGCAGGGAGCACGGCCACATGAAGATGAAGGCAGAGACAGGAGCGGCATTGACACAAGCCAAGACCACCAGGGGCCACCAGAAGCCCGAAAAGATAAGCAAAGATTCTTCCCAAGAGCCTCTTGAAGGAAGAGTGGCCCTGTGACACCTTAGTTTGGGCCTTCTGAACTCCAGAAGGGTAGAGTCACTTTCTGTGGTATGAAGCCTCCTTATTTGTCGTGATCTCTCAAGGCAACCCTAGGAAACTAATTTGGCCCATAACTTCTTCCCCAAGGTTCTGCTTTAACTTCTGCAAAATGGGGGTAATTGTGCTCGACCCTCTTCCTGCACAAAGTTATTATGAGGATTAGCGATAATACATGATAACATGCTTTGTGAATTGAAACGGACTATAAAGAGACCAGAAATTATTATTACAGTAATGCTATTATGAACATGACTGTTCAGGGACTTTTCTGAGAGCCGTGGAAAGCAGTCATGGCCAAGACTAGGAGAAAAGAAAGTGCCAGGATCAGCCCAAACCCATCCCCAATACCGAGTTAATATTTTACCAAGTCGATTAAATCTGCAAATTATACCAGAGGTAATTATCACTTTGCTTTAAGAAAACGAAATATTCCAATCTGTTTTAATCATGTCTGCTCTGTGCGTGCAGGATATTAAGAGAAGCCTGTTCGAGATACACTAATGGTCCCTAGGGTATTTCTGGAAGGGTTCTGTGCTGTGGGTTTATATCCTCTGATGCCTCTTGCCTTTGCCTAAATTTCATCATGGGATTCAGAATCCAAGCTTCTTTTCTTTCTAATTCATTCTTTATCTCTAAGACAATCTCTTTGATTCCTGTTCTGATTTCTGGACAGACAGTTCCAGGCTTCGTAAGGAAAAAACAAAAACAAAAACAAAAAATCACCACCTTGATACAACCAGAAACTTCTGAGAGCAACTGTGCAATGCCAACTGAAATTTCTGCAAACCCATGCCACTGACACAGTGCTAAGCTCTCCAAGGAGTCTTGAAAGATGCCTGCAGTTTTCTCAATAAGAACAACAGGTCAGGTGATCAGCCAAAACCATATCCTTCATCTGAGAAAAGTAAATGGGAAATGAGTAAGGGAAGCTTCCAGCTCATGACCAGGGCTCTGAGATGCTAACTTGTCTGGGTCTCCATCTCCCCACCCCCAATCCGGTGATTCCACTCAGGAAGCCACATTCTTGAGAGTGGTTTCCAGAAGGAAACAGCAAGTATGGGGGAAGCTTACTGAATTGTTTAAGGGAAGAGCACTGGTCTTTGGAAACAGCAGACCTGGATGGTGGTAATGCTAATTACCGTAATACTAATTCCCATTCCCATTGATAAGCTCTGTGATCCCGGACCAGTTGTTTAACTTGGCCAAGCCTGGATCCTTCATTTGTAAGACTGTTTATGATACCTCCCGTGGGGGTTGCTCCAAAGATGAGTCAGGACTTTGTTCATAATAGGTACTCAATAGAGGGCTCTTCTGTCTCCTTCTCTACTATTGGAAAGGTCATAGATACTCAGCCCTTCCGATGGAGAATGCCACCAGATCCGTTCTTATAGCAAGGACCTTCCAGTGGGGGGGCATCTGGTTGGGGTAGGCAGAGATCCTCAATAACAGAATAAAATGTGCCGAGAAGTCACTGAATGCCCTAGTTAGCTCCTTCTGTTCCCGCAGAAGGTGGCTCAAAGCCTCCCACTCTGGCTTTGGGATCTTCCTGCTATTGTGGCACAGAAAGCCATCTCCCCCTGGCCTCTCTCCTCCAAGGCCAAGATTCTATCTTCCTGGAAATACCCAACCCATCCCCACACCCCAGCCCACAGGCTCCATTGGGCAGACCCTGGCAATCTACAAGGCTCATGCCAGATGGCGCCATGTGGACTAATCAGGAAGTCGGACAAGAAAATACTACCCCCTCTTCCATTTGCCAGGAACTGGGATTGTTTGGATTTTAATCATAGCCACAGTGAAAAGCCAACATGAGGACCCTCCAGCCAAAAGATAAATTTTCCACTCTCAACATTCAACTCTTCCTCAAAAAATAGACCCCTACCAGGACAAGAGGGGGGCTTCTTTATTTTCCCACGTAACTTTTTTCTTATTTAACAATGTGACAGAAATAAAATACTCTGGGACATGGTGGCCCTCACACACTGGCTCACACTGGAGGGAACGTCTTCATTCCTCCATAAGTCACATCTAGCTCACCGGTGTATTGATCCTGGGCAAAGATGAATGCAGAATCCCATGATCCTCTGGGATAAATCTGACATTTTCTTTAAATATATATCCATGGAACAACTGTTTCTGAAACTCCACGAAACAGGTCACCAGGGCAGCACACCATTGATTTCACATCCAATGATTTTTTAGAAGGAGCACTGAACGTTTTCTCAATAATTCAGCCAACTGCAGACCCCAGATGTCCCCCAGAGAGATGCTGTCCCTTGCCTCCTACAGAGGAAGGGGAAGGCATTCTGCGAGAAGTCACATGAGACTCCCAAGAAAGAGAGCCCCCAGTTAGCTCCTCTATGGCAGAGCCCTTGATCGGATCTAGGGCAACGTAAGAAGGAATTGGAATCATGCACTTTTTGACAATTATTGCAGAACTGCTCCTTGAATTGGAAACAGATTTTGAGAGGCTGAGGGACAGCTAACGAGAGTGGTCAAGACCTTGAGTCCATATGCTACCCCTTGGCTAATGGGTAACCCGAAACAAGATACTTCACCTTGCTGAGTACCTCAGGGTCCTCGAATGTGAAGTGACGGTAATAATTCCTACCCGATAAATTACTACAAGGATTAAATTAAATAACGAATGTACATAATTTAAGAGATTGCTTGGCACAGTGCCTGGCACAGGAGTCAGATCTCAGAAATCGTTAGTAGTGATCTTAGCAGTCATGTTCATTTAATGCTAAGGTTTTCTTCCACCTACAAAGATGGGAATGAATACGATGCATCAAGTCAAACGGTCTGACATTTAGCTGTCTGTGACACCTGGGACATCATCTAGGTTTTTCAGTGTTGTATAAATAAGTAAGTATATATTTACGTTTTCCTCAGCCCCGGTAGTTTTTAATCAGTGTACCTCAGGATCTCAGCCCTATGTGGCTAAAGGACTGTAGTCACTATATCTCCTGGGGCCGCACCAGAGGAGTAGCCCAGAGGGAACGGTAAAATCCCAAGAAGGGAAGGCAACCCACACCAGTACTGTCCTGAACTTTCCAGCACTGTTGAGATCACCTCTGTACTTCCCGGCCCTAGGATGGCCTTTCAAAGAATCAGGGCAATCAGGTCCATGAGGATAACTGGGGTATACAAAGCCATCATGGGGTAATGGGCTATTGAGTAACTGGATATAAATATTCCCCTCCTCGACTAGCTGGATTGGAAAAGCTAAGATCCTGACTCATCCGTGAACTCAGGTCTTCCCAGGTGGAGGGATCCTCCAGTGGGGGATTGAAAGGCTGACAGCATGGGCAGAGATCCAAGGCTACCGACTCTTGGTAAAGCCTTGGATCTCAAGGCTTTACCAAGCCTTGAGTCACTAAGTCACTAAGTAAAAGGGAATATTAAGTCACTAAGTAAAAGGGAACACATGAGCAGTGTCTCTGGAACCCTAACTCCCTAATTTCATCCATGCCTCAATTCCTTTTCAATTCATTCCTTGATTTGTTCCCTCAACATAACATGCTGTCCTTCATGCACAGAGATGACCCTGATGACTCACACAACAACACGACTCGTTTTTTCCAGCAGTGGTCAGGAATTTTCACTCCTCCGTCCAACAAGGATTTGCACAAAATGGCTGGAGGGGGTAGGGGTACATCAATCAGCCTGGGAAGGTAGTCAGGCCAAGCAGTCCACAGGCAGATGGAATAAATATATGGACTTGCCTCCCACCCCTCACCATCGGGATGCCCATATGCAAGCCAAACAGGCTGACAAAAGATGATGAGTGGCGGAAAGGGCACACAATCGGAAGTCAGAGGCCTGGGTTCAAGGCCTAGATCGGCCAGTTCCTAACAATGCAATCTTGCCTGGGTCTCATGTGCCTTTTGGGGGCTCAGCACCTTCACCTTAAAATGAAGAAATACATTTTATATTGGAGATATAATAACACCTATCTCTCATAATGCTCATGATGATAAATCTATTTTTTTCATGATGATAAAGCTAAAGTCACATCAATGAAAGCACACCTGAACATCCACAAACTCACAAAGTATGAGTGTCACTTGTTATAAATTGAAAATACTCCTATTATTATAAGTATAAATGCTATTACTACTAGTTACCTACAGACCACAGAACTAGGTCCTGCTCAGAGATAAGATCCCGGTCTTCTTCGGAAATGTGCTGGAAAGAGCATCAGAAACCAAGCAACAAAGAGGGTGTCTCGCTCTCGCGAGAACATGGTACACTCTGTGCCACCCAGCCCAAGGAGCCCCAAGGGCACACCCAACCTCGGGTGGTTCCACCACCCCACATTTCTCCCCACCCAACCTCTACCACCGCTCTACTGCTTGGAGGGTCTTCAAAGCCAAACTTACAATTCCCGAAGACTCAACGTCTGGAAGAGCTGCCATGAGAGTGTGGTGAGCCGGTTACTCGACAGGTTTCTGCAAGAGTGACAGATAAAGGGCAAATTAAGGGACGGACCCGGCGTGAGTAATGTTCTTGGTAGGAAGCTTGTTTATTTCACGGGAGCCTGGTTTTGTTGTTCTTTTCTTTGTTCCATTCTGCTAACAGTGTATCTGCCAGTAGTCAAGGCTCCAGATCAGGTTTGGAGAGGATTTCGAGGAAAGGAAAGTGAGAGATTTACAATGTAAAAAAAAAAAAAGAAAGAAAGAAAAAGAAAAGAACGGTTGGTCATTTTCCCACATTCTCTCACCACAGTAAAGGTTCAGGGAAACTTCTGGAGGCTGCCCTCCCACAGGGGTACAGAGCTCTTAGGATACACAAGCCAACAAGCTTTATTCTTCATTTTTATTATTGAAGTGTCACAGACATTTTAAAAACTGGGCATATTTAATGCATACATCTTGATTAATTTCAAGGCAAGTGTAAACCCATGAAACTGTCACCATAAACAATGCCATAAACTTAACCATCAACTTTAAAAAATTTCCTCCCTCCCTCTCCCTCTCTCTTTCTTTTTTTTTTTTTTTGCTATAACCGTTAATATAAGATATAACCTCTTAACACATTTTTAGGTGTACACACCACCTAATTAATGACTCACGACACTGTACGGTACATCTCCAGGACTTACTCGTCTTGCATAAATGAAACTACGTCCCCTGTTACCATCAAGAATTCTTAACATTCACAATAGTGGGAAACCCTGCAGGTCACCTACAATTTCTTCTACCCAGTCCCTCCCCCAGCAAAGAGGCCCATCCGTGATCAAGACATCAGCCTTTTGTTCACACTTCTGTTCTCCTCTTAATGGCTATTTAATTGTTCTCATTAGGATGTACAGAGGAAAGGAGTAGCCATTAGTCTTCCAAATAACAGAAGAAACACACCCACGGTGATCACGTAGCCAGGCTCAACAGACGACTCTTAACATGACAACAGCCCTTCAAGACGGCAGTTAGACATGGTTGGAGTCAACGTGATCCCACAGGAGCACTACTCCTGCACTGATGAGATGGGATGGTGGTAAGATGCCACACAGGTCAACATTATCCACACCTACGTGCGCGCACGCGGGCGCATGTGTGTAGTGGTGCCAATTAAACACGCAGGTGATGAACCCAAGTACAGACTCTTGTTCACACATGTGCGCATACGCTCTCTGCACACCTCTACTTAGATGACTTCTACAGCAGACACTTGTGGAGGAACCAAATACAGACTCCTTGGGGGAACGAAGGGGGCACGAAGGAGGAGGTCCCTCTGAAACTTACATTCAAGTTACAAATGAATAAGCAAGGCGACGACAGTTTGCCAATGACAGAAGGAAGGGGACAAACCAAGTGATGCCATCATGGATGCCGGAGAGGGAGACAGCTCCTTCACACAGGCGCTTCGGGAGATGTCCTTCAAGAGGGTAGCATCGAGCTGAGGCCAGAGCTAGAATGAACCGGTGCCAGGGCTGGGGTTTTCTGGGCAGTGGGAGCAAGAAGAGCAAAGGCAGAAAGGGGGCCGGTGGGAAAGGAGGTAGGGGAGAGTGGTCGGGGGTAAGGAGGAGAGGTGAAAGCCACAACCACCTTGCCGGCCATGGTGAGAACCTTGGATTTTTATTTTAAGGAGCAAAGAGAAGGCACTGGATGGCTGTAAGTAGGGAAGGGACATAATCTAATTACCATTTCTTAAAGTGAGAGACCAAGCCTGGAAGCTGGCAGACGATTTTGATTAGGAGGCTGCGGTAGTGTTGAGGAAGGGGATTAGAGATAACGAAGCAGGTGGATTCAAGGAGGCGGGGAGAGCGCCACCAGAACCTCCTACTGGATTGGGTCTGGGAGAGAAGGGAGCGAGACGCCGCCATCAGGCCAGCAGCCAGATCATTTAGTGAGACCAGGAAGGCTGTAAAAGCGTGCTATCTGGGGTTCAGATCATGAGCCTCCCCTTGCAAATGCTAAGTCTAAGATGCGTGTGAAATATCCAGAAAGAGAACCGGCTAGGCTGCTGGACACCTGGGTCTGGAGGTCACGGGGAAGTCCAGGCTGGTGGCATCACAGACGGCACGCACCGACTTTACAGGGACAGATGGCACACACAAGGACAACCTAAGGGACAGGGCTTCCCCTTCATATCTGAGGCAGCCCTACCCTTGGTGACAGCCGGTGACTGTGTTAGAAAGACAGCCCCCTTTCTGCGGGTGCAGGGGACTGGTGGGCAAAGGAAGGGAACGACAGGAACAGATGTCCAGGCGTCCTGTTCCACTCCCCCCGCACCCAGCACTCTCCATAGTGTCCTCCAGCCTGCACATCACTGTCTACGGTAGACACCTCCGGAGCCTGCTTCCTGCCGACGGAAGGAAGAGCTCGAACTGCATATGAATCACCAAAGCTTATAAACCTTAACCTGTCCGAGCTTCCCAAAACCCCTATCCTCGGTCCACTGTAGGCCTGAAAGCTGCCTCCATGTCCCAGTGATCAGAAGGAAAGGGAGATAAAGGAAGGCCTGCATGGTGGCCACTTAAGGACACCAGTGGGGCACGGCTCCCCTGACCCACCTCCTGCTCAGGAGGGTGGAGTGGGGATCTGGTGCACATGCCCAGCGAGCGGCTGGCTTTACACTGGGTTTTGCACCTGGAGCTCAGACCTTGGGGTCAAGGATTCTGGGTCTCGGTACTGTGCTTGGGTCCCCATTACGCTTAGCCTCTGTGAGGTTCCAGCAAATGTGAGCGACTCACCCAGGTGGAAGCCTTCTGTCCTGTTCTCCCGGCTCACTATCTACCCACAGTCGCAGCAGTGGCAGCCGACATCAGGCAGGCCGCCAGCCGTGAGGTCTCCTCCTCACTCCAGCACCTCCTTGAGCAGAACCCCCGGTTCTAAAACTGAGCAGCACCCCATGACAGTTAGCAACCGGGAACCCCAGATTAGCCGAGCGCTCAGAAGCAGCCCTGTCTGTATCTCCCCCTCCACACCCCAGTGAGAAGCAGGGACTAATGCAGGTGTGAGGCAGGTGAAGCGGGGACCCTGCCCATCTCTGAGGGAAGACCAGCCTGGGAGCGTGTGCCGGGGGGTTCCTGGGGAGCCTGAGGGATCAGGCTACCAGCAACGTCCTTCCACAAAGGTCATGTTTTGCTACATTAGGCAGAAATGTCATGAGAAAATTGGATTCTAGAAGAAAGAAAATAACAGGCATTCTGGGCAAATAAAGACTAAGAAATAGTATTATCTCCTTATTACAAGCTGGAGAGGGGAGGGGGGGCCTGGGACATTCGGGAAGGGGGAGTAGACAGGGGAGGGGGGTCCCTGTTCTCCTGGGGTTGTCTTGGCTTTATCTCCTTCCTGCCACGCCCACCAAGCCCCACCCGGAAGAGAAAGGGCCCCTGGATTCCTCCAGCTCTTTGGCCAGATGGAGCAGCCGCTGCAGGACTCACGGGCTGTGTCTAGGACGACCAGTTCCCCTCCTCCCCAGCCACCTCCCTGGGATACAGACCATCTCCTCCCGTTGGAGGGAAAGCCTGCCCTTACCTCTTCTGCACACCAGCTACTCTCCTGTGCTCCCACCTTCCTGCCTCCCTTCACTACCACTAAAACCAACAGCCACCACTCACCAAGGGCTTCCTCCTGAACACCAGGTACTGTGTTCAGCACTTTTACATTCATGAACCTATTTAGTATATGCAACGGAACTGGGCGGGTGTTACTGACATCTCTGCGGTCGATCTGAACAGGTCTGAGTGGCCTTAATGCCAAGACTCGGTCAAGAAGCAACAAACCACACCCCCAGGAACGTGTGCAACCGATGCGCAGACATGTAAATTCCCAGGTACGTGCACACACGCACACACCCGTACGTCGGCGTAAGTTGCCAGAGATGGGGGCACTGCGCTACACGAGTCCCTGGAGGAAGGCAGTGCGCACAACCTGCACAACTGTACATGTACCCAGTACCCCGCCAGAGACGCGCGAGAGAAGCCCCCAGCCCCAGAGACAGTTATGTACACAGAGGACAAGCAAGACAAACACAGAGCCACCCCAAGATAAGCAGGGCACACCTCTGGCCACCCTTCCCTCACGGGCATTTATAAATGCTCATGGTGCAGGAAAATGGGGACACTGAGACACAGGGCTGTGATTGACTGACCGCCCCCCTCAGAACTCACTACCCCTGATTTTCCTCCCAGCTAGTGCCTCAGCTGGATTCACCTGCCACCTGTAATTGATGGGCTGGTTATCCTGCTCATCAGACTCGATCAGGAACCATCCTGCCTCCGGCCCCACAGCAGCGTCTTCCGGAAGCCTCGTCCCTGACAGATCCATTATCCCCCATCTCTGACTTGTGCTTGGGTCAATGGCCAGGTTCCCAGCCACCTGACCACTGGAATTAATTTGGTGAGCAAGATTTTACGAGATGAGGCATCAAATACTTTCCCAAAATCAAGCTCTGTGACATTGCCCCCGTATCCCTCATCTGAGACTACCAAACAGCCATTAATTCTGTCCTGCACTGCTGGCTTTTTCACAGTCCAGACTCTGGGGCCCAGAGTAATGAACAATGAGGAAGCTCCTGGGTGCTCTGGGAACAGGGAGCCAGACACACAGATGGCCAAAATCGGACCCAGAGGAAACAGAGGGCTGAGATGGCCCTTTCTTCCATTAACCCCTTGGTGAACACGGGTCCTCCCAGGCTTAACACCTCAGCATGGCAAGCAGCCTCATCACCTTCCTAAAGGGGACAGCCGACTCCAGCAGGATAGAACCCATGATCTGGGAGGATATCGCCCCCCACCCTGGGAACCCTGCTGTCCAACCAGAGGTCACTCAAGATGGAACCTGTCACCAAGAAAAGGCAACCAGATGAATTCCTGTGTTGCCCCAAAGGTACCAAGTCTATGGAGGCTGAGACTTGAGGAGGGGACACTAAGCTCCATCCACAAGTGATCCTGAAGCTGGGAGACTTCGTAGAGTTCCTGGATGTACAGCATGGCTGATGTTTG